AGACTGTATACACTTGATGATATCAGTGCGTGTTAGTTCTGTATCTAACTCTTCATCCTCCCTCTTCTTATTTAGAACAGCATTTATTCCATCCATCAGCCCCTGAAAATTGATTAAAAATTTCACAACATTGTTGATGAAAGATGACTGTCAAATGAAAAGAGGCAGTGCCCATCCCTAAATATGGCAGGATTCATTGCGATGGGAGGAAGGAAAGCGGATAAAAATGGAGATGTTTGACATGTAAATTCATTAGTATATTGATGCATGAATCTCAGGAACAGGTATAAACTCCACTACTTCAACATAGTTAAGAGATATACAGAAAATGTTTCATCCAAGTTGAATAGTTGCAAAGCTAATACTGTGAATCTGAACCATTAACTACTTTGATCATTGCTTGAATATATGGTCCAGATTCACAGTAAGGAAATTAAGATTCCTACGTTGCAGATTGTCTCAACAAAAAAAAAAGAATATTACCCATATATTGCAAATGAACTTTCAAATGTAATTTTAATAATAATGACCTATCAGAAACAAACATTCATAACATTATGCACTTGAGCTCACTGCATAGAGTTAAATGTAAACAGGCCAAATGACCAGGATAAAAAGACAAGTTGGTAACCAATACATTGCTCCCTTGAAACACACGTGATTCAAAACAAAAGGATTATCATTACAATTTACACGCATGGAATAAGGCCCTTTAAAGAGATCCATGCATCTGCTTTTCTGCTGCCCTACTCTCTTTCAAGCCTAGTGTACAATTTTAGCACAACTAGGACATTTTTTAATCCATCAGTTAAATTCACTGAACAAAAATTCACTGTCTGAGTAAACTACAGTGCAGCCCATTGATCACAATAATAAATAAGAGTAAATGAGTATAAAAACGTACAACCACACTCACAAGAAGTTGATAGTATTCAGCCTCCCTAAGTAGTTCTGAATATATTGAATCTTTTAACGTGGGAACAACACCATCCCTCAACCAATTAAGGATGTGCCGAAAATGTTTGCCATCCCTATCAAGAAACACATACCCCTACAAAAAAGCCCGGGAGCAGATTATCATTATACAAATTGAAAAGAATGTTTAATTCATAATTACATAACAATAAATACATTAAAAATTAGATTCATGTCCAACTATTTAGGATTGTTACTTGAATCCTAACCCTTCATTGGATCCTATATGGATCATATTTTCAAACAAATCACACCATACTGTATTTTTCCTAATTACTCCCTTGTCATCTCCTTTCGTAGCACTACCCTCTGTTTTGATTAAGTCACTCTTCCTAACCAGCGCATTCACCGACCTTCGCTGGAACACATCGAGGCCACAATAGATGGTTCTCTCTATGTCTCCACTCAGTGCCATTTCAGCCTTCTTATACATGATCATTCAAGTACATAAATAATTATCTAACATCTGGTCAGGTTGTAGTGGGGAAATCAATAGTCACAATGGAAAACTGTTTAAAATGTGTCTCAAAGGCAGAAGTTTATACCTTTTCGGCATCTTGACATATACTATGGCGACCGCTGAACATTGCAGCAAGCATCGAATCGGGCTCACGATGAGTCAAAGTATCAATAGTAGTACAAAATTTCTTTCCTCCTGGTAACAAACAAAGAACGTATCCAAATCATGTAGCTAATCCTCGAGCTCTATTAAACTACACCATAATAATAAGTTTCAAACAAAACCGCTTCAAGAGCTAAATAAATTGGAGAAAAAAAAACTCCCCATTGATGCACTTGTCATGCTCTAATGATTCGTAGTTGTGAAATTTCTTTGGTGTCATTTTCTCATTACAAAGTAAGATGGGTTTTAATCTAAAGTACTGGGTTTGAAGTGGTTTTTCCCTAAAATGTAATATTATCAAGGCTTATAAGTTAAAAGCCCAATTTTGAATTTTTGACAAATGCAATCAGTCACACATGCACAAACACACAGATTGCACAAATTGCCTCACCAAAACATTCAATTGGTTTTACTTATATTGCTTGCATTTTCTGAGCAAATGAAAATGTAGGGTTTCAAATTCCATTTGAGAGCGATCAAATCGATTCAACAACAAACTTTCTACTGTAAGAAACAGAAAATTGAAATTAAACTGGATTGGATTGGATTACAACAGAGAGAGAGAAGAAAGGGAGGTGACTGACCGATGTTAAGGCGAATCAGAGAGGAGGAATCGGAGTCCTTCGTCATTGATTTGGGGGCTCCGATTTGGGAATCCGCAGGAGCATGTACTTCAAAGCTCGGAGCTTTGTGTTTACGTTTCGGTTTTCCGAATTTATGATATTCTAGGTTCGAGTTTGGTGTGCTTTTGCATCTCTCTTTTACTTGCCAAGCGAGAAATAGAATAAAGGTATTTTTTTTTGGAAGTGTTATTGGTATTTAGTAATCTTATTCTATAATTTTCATAAGTGTATTTTTCTTTTTAAATATGAAAAGTTTAGAATGTATAATGAGATTTTTGAAGCGCCAATAACAATTTTTTATTTTGCTCTAAATTTTGAGAAAGAAAAATACAATTGTGAGAAGTGAAATGAGATTTTTTGAGTACTAGTAAGAATTCTTTTTGGCTAATTATATTAACACCCCACAAATTGTTGAATAAACCCAACAAACTTAATACACCTCACATTTGCTTTTTCATTTAAAAATTATCTTAATACACCTCACTTACTTTCCCATAATACCCCACACCCCACATTCTCAATATACATCTTATATTTTGTACATACACCCCACATTTCTCAAATCTTATAACACTCATTTTTAATTTTTAGGGATTGAATCTAACCATATGAACACTAAAAGATGAATATGGATATAGAAGTTTAAATAATGCAGCAAACGCAAGATTAAATAATTATCGATATCATCGAAATCACTAAAATAATGAAAACTATGAAGTCTTACCTCATGTGAAGCTCCTAAAACATCGATTTCGTGTTCCATTCGTCAAAAACAATTTTTCTTAATCAACATGTTTGATAGTTGAGAAGATAAATAATACGCTAAAAGTGATTTTGGGTGTATTTATAAATCTTTATTTTTTTTAAAACCTAATAAGGTCAAAATTGTCATTACATAGTGGAGTAAATAAGTCATTTAATATTAAATTTTAATGTGGGATGTATTCAACATTTTGTGGGATAAAACCCCTTCTTTTTTCTTTTCTTCTATTCTTAATTTTAGTTATTTATTAAAATTAAAACAATTCCTAACAAAATTTAAGATTAAAACATAAAAATGGAAAATGTAGGTCTCATTCTCTATTGTGTTTTTTTTTTAACAATTAGTGGTACGAGAGAGAAGGTGAGGAAAATGGAAATAATTTCAACATGTTTTATTTTTTTTGTTAGCAACTTAGCATTTTAAATTTTATTTATTAATTAATTTTAAGACTTAAAATAATAATATTACTCTTGAGGGAAAAGAATATGCATAATTCACTTCTTTATGAGAAATGAAGACATCCCAACTCTTGAGTTGGAGGTGCTTTTTCTTGATAGATAATTGTAGCAATGGTCATCAACTTTAGCTCAATTAAAGTAATGGTTTTTTAATTAAAAATTCATGATCATTAGTTCTTTAATTTATCACAATAATTTTCGTCATCTCCGTTAAAACTTCCGTAAAAATAAGTCACGTGTCACTCAAGTGAGGTTGAATCAAGGGTCAAATATGGAAATTTAAATGAGGAAGTTGTAGAAATGGTATCTCAACAATAACCCATTTGAAGCAATGGTCTTTCAACTTTAACCCAATTATAGCAATGATTCTTCCAACATTCGTTTTGACGAAAGTTCTGACAGAATTGATAAAAATGACCATAGCTGCGCATTTTGAAGAGTTAAAGGATCAATGATCATAGATTTTTACTTGAATGACTATTACGCAAATTAGGTTAAAGTTGAGAGATCATTGTTACAATTCCCTATTTTCTTTAATGTTGACAAGAGATTCAGGGTGTGTTTGTTGCACCGGACTGTTTTGAACTGGACTAGCTTCAGGGATTAAGCTGGATTGGCTTAGACTAGACTAAGCTGGACTAACTTAGTGAAGCGTTTGATGCAATGTCGGACTAAAAAGCTGGACTAACAATAAATTATTATTATTATTATATTTTAATTTATTTTTAAAAAACATCAAAATGAATATATGGAAAAAATAAATTTTGTCTCAGTTCCTTACCGTCAATAAATTTTGCACCGTCCTTTCAGTTGTAGGATAAAATGTAGTTTCCTTCGGATTACAGGTTACGCCTTTTGAATGCTAAGAAATCCGGTGTTTCTTTCCAAAAAAAAAAAGAAAAGAAATCCGGTGTTTTGTTGTACATTATTGTAATCTACGCGAATACACATTCCGCTTCGCTCGCAAATTGCAGGTATAAATTCATTGTTTCTGTGAGCTGCTTCTCCAAAATCTTATGAAGTTAAAAGAAAATTTTGCACATAATAAGCAAGAAAAACAGGATATTTTCGCTATTCGTATCATAGAGCACTCATTTATAACATTAATGGAAATTCCTCCTGTGTAGTAGCAACAAGGATAACACGTCATGTGGAGAGGCTGCTCCCAAGTCTCGAACCTGAGACATACAATAATAGACTACATACATAAAAATTATTAGATGAAATTCAACGATGGCAGAACAAATATTAGATGAAATTCATATATATCTCAAATCCACTCCAGTAAAAGCTCTGAGAACTAGCAGATGAAATTTACATCAAGTTCACTTTATGACAAATATTAGAAATCAGGAGGTGTCAATCATATGAAGAAACAATAGTGACACGATCTCAGTTTAGGTCATAGACTCATAGAGACACAATCTCAGTTTAAGTTGATGCAAAGAAATGCTATGTTCATTTATAATTGGAGATGGGGATGCAAGTTTAAGTCATAGACTCATAGAGACACAATCTTAGTTCAAATTCAGAGTTAAGCAACTTCAGAAAAACCACGATGGAAAAGTAAACATTTTGTATGATCTCCATAAGTTATAACTAAGTAAATAGGCAATGTCAACTCATAAACTAACAAATAAGATCATCATTTCAACACCAGAATAAAATACACAACAATCAAAATTCTCCAGATGACTCAATATTGATAGCCATACTTGCCCGGATCTATTGAATCCCACTGCAAAGCCTGTCATTTGCCTGGAGCCTGTTATCCCGAATCACTCTGCTGCTTTCTTACTTCTCTTGGCCTTCTTTAGGTTTGCTTCTGTGCTCTTCAACTTTTCATCTTCACTCTTCTTCTTCTCCTTCTTTCCAACAGACTCTTTACTCTTTCTCCTCTCTTTCTTTCCAATAGACTCTTCTCCTCGAGCCGACGAATCATCTGCTTTCTTCCTTGTACCATCTTTTTTCTTCTCTTTCAATGACAATCCATCTTTCTTATGATTGACAGTGGCACCATCTTCTTCTCCTGCCTTCGATGACCTTTTCAACTTCTTCTCACCAACATCATTTTCCCCATTTAACTCAGCATCATCTTTCGCCTTAGCTTATTTCTTCAATCTTTTCTCACCCTTCAACTCGCCAGCAACCTTTTCTATCTTCCTCTTCTTCTTCCTCAATTCGCCACTGCCTGGTTCATCATTCTCGCTTTGCTTACCTTCCCCAATGTCCACATCACCAACAATAACGAAATCATCATCATCAAGCACCTCGCTGACATTCCCCCAAATTTGAAGGAAATTCACTGAAATTGAACACGAAAACACGGAACGGAAGATATCACGAAAACCCAACCACAATTAGAGTTGTAAATTTCAAATCAAGCAAAATCGAAATTACACAAATTAAGATGGCAATCCAATCCACTAACCCATCAACTAAACACTTAAGAAATCAAACATCACAGAGAAATCAAAACAAAATTAAACCCTTCAAATTCATATCAACGAAAAACACAAACGAGAAAAAAAGTTAAGAAATTGAGCTGACCTCTGAAATTCCCATTTGAATCCTCATCAGCTCACCCACCGTCATAGCCCATTTAGGCTTCCCAGGACCCAGACCCGGCTGACCCACTCTTCTTGGAGCTGAAGCCTGGCGATTTGAACCCCTACCTTTTTCATCTTGTGGGAAGCCGTGGAAACAGATGAGCGAAGTCTTAGCAATCCTGATGTTTTCGGGGGCCCTCGCTAAGACCACCTAATCCGGGTGTTAGTCGAAGCGAGTCCACCCTAGTCCCATTAAACGTAGTTCCCGTGTAAAACAAACATGGGATTACACTAGAGATTAATCCAGTCCAATCCAAGGAGACTTAGTGATGCCAAACAAACGGGCCCTCAAAGTTTTAACTGGTTTTTTATTTAGTTACTTTATACGAAAATAACTATTCATTTTGGCCCACTCCAAAATGTATTAAACCGTTTAATTGTTAATTAGGTCCTTCTTTGAGGATATTCCTAATAAAACAAGCTCACTCAACTTGTTTATCGATATTATATTGTTTATTGAAAATAATGTGTTTATTTTGGTCAGACTTAAATAACTAAACACTTTTTCGTCCAATTAAAGTTTTGTAGAAATGATTTTGAATGAAAACCTAAAGACGAACAACACCTATCATACATTATGAAGTGGGCACAAATGAATATCTAGTACCATATTAACTTGTTAAAGCATCTTCAAAAGAAATGTCAAAATGTCTAAATAAGTAATAACGATAATAAAAGACAGTAGCAATGTTTTCCAACCGAGAAGCCAAATCTGATGTAGCATGACATGGAATGACATCTCTCACCCTTGTAGCAGCTTCAAAAATTTTTAATTAATTATTAGATGTTTTTTTTAACTTTTTATCTGATTAAAGCCTTGCCTTTTAATTTCTTTTCATTATACCTTGTAATTCATTTTCTTTCATTATTAATGCAAAGAAAATAAATATAAAATTTTATTTTATGTTTAAAATTTAACATATTATGTCGAGAGAGAAACTTTAAAGCTGTCAAATTTAAATTTTATATTTAAAGTTTGATAGCTTCTTTAGAAATGATCTTCATAACTTAATTACCAACTAGTTGGCAATGGAGTTGAATAGGGCCAAGAGTGTGGTTGGTTTCTAATTCTGGATAATTGGGCCCAAGTAGACCCAGAAGTTATGGAAAGACAGCCCAAGTTAGCCTCAGTGAAACGAGCAACGTGCAACAGGTGGGTGGAACAGCAACTGCTGCATGGCCAGCCAAACGTGGCAGCTCCATGCAGAAACACATCTCAGCCTCTGCCTCTCCATCTCCTTCTCCTTCCTCCCTCCTCCTTCCTGCTTCCTCCCTATTGAAAACCAAACAATACTCTGGTCTAATTTCTCTGCAGATCTGCAAAAAACCAACAATGTCCACAATGAGGTTGAAGCATCTTTCCTCCATTGCAAACGATGTCGTACAAAAATGCGCCTTGTAAGTCCATTATATATAATATGCAATTCATGTATATAGAATCCATGCTTACTATATATTGTTCTTCATATTTGTTGTTCATATGAAGAACAATATATAAACATATTTGTTGTTCTTCATATGCAATCTCCTGTGCACCTGCGAATATTATTATTCACATTTGTTGTTCAAATCCATGTTTACTATATATTTTTATATATAGATGAGTGTCTTTTTTATACAAATCACTACTCTACTTTAAACTACTATAAACCGCGCATGTCGAGGGCACAGGAGAGAGCACATCTGTTGTAGCCAAACCAATGGGGCTACGTCTACATCGTGTGTATATGCATGCTTTGTGATTAAATCCTATTATGTGGTTATATAATTAATATTATATTACGTGCAGGAAACTGGAAACTCCGGTGGATAAATTGGTGGAGGAATTCGAAACTACATGGAAGACGGATGAAACGGTGCCGGTTGGTGCTAATAACAACAGTAATAGTTATGGGAGGAAATTGGTAGAATTTTGCAGTGCCAAGGCTCTGCAGAGTAGTGACATGTGCAAAACCATTGAGGAAAAGATTGCCAATGGATTTTTTAGCCGCTTCACTTTCGACATGATGCTCGCTTGGGAGATGCCTACCTCTGCCGACGAAGAATCTTTTGAGGTAATTAACTATGTTCGTAATTTGATTGTTTCTTTTGATACCAACGGTGATTTCGCTAAGCCACATGATCATGATGTTGAAGTGAAAAATTTGGTATTGAATTTCTCCACCATATTTACCCTATAATACATTCAAACATAGCTTTTTGGGTTTTTACTTATGCATCCCGGGTTCGAAACTCCCGCTCTCCTAAATTATTGTATTAGTTTCGATTCCCCCTCATTCTCTTAATAATATATATATTTTTTTTTTTTAAATGTCACATTTTTGGGGTTTTGCAGGAGTGCGTAGCGAAGGAGAAAGAAGAGAAAAAATTACCTGGAAAATTTCGTTCGGAGCAAGATGACGTCCCTTTGTTCTATTCAGACCTCATGCCACTTCTTGTAAGCTATATCATTTCTTAAGATTTAATTTCGTTTTGTAATTTCGTTTACGTACGTAGAGAGATGGAAAGTTGGACTGAACTAAGTTATAGGTTAAAGTAATGGTCGTTGCTCGAACCCTAATCTTTTGTTCCTCGTTGCAGTCATAATTATGTTTTGTTTCTATTCATTCTTCACCTACTGTCTGGCAGGTTGATAACGAGAAAGATGTTGGAGAAGATGCATTTGTTTGGATGGGGTCGCTGGTTCCACTAGTTACAGATGTTGTCAATGGGAGATTTACCTTTGAAACTTTAACGGCGTCTACAGGAAACCGGCTCCATTTTCCATCCTACAACAAATATTTAAAGGAAATTGATAGGTGATGCATCTATAACCATATATTTCGTTTGTATGATACGTCGACGCATACTCAATAAGCAGCTAATATTGTTAGAGGCCCTCTTTAATACCTTAATTGAACCTTCCATTTGGAATAATAACATGTTACAACTTTTCCCTTTTTGTACTGTTTTGATTTTACAGATGTATAAAACATTTGGTAAAACATGCAAAACCGAAGGGTGTGGAGCTTGCAGACGACGAATTCATTTTACACGTCGAGGGAACTGCTAGCACACAGCGAGTAGTGCGCCACATTGGAGGAACAAGTTGGCCTGGTTTGTTTAGAAAAGAGAACATTGATCATCTCAATCTTATATGTAGTTTCTGTTCCCCATAATTAAGCAATCGATTTGATATGGCTAGCCATGCATCGGTATTTCAGGTAGGCTTACACTAACAAATTACGCACTCTATTTCGAGGCTTCTGGAGTATTAACGTATGAAGATGCTCTTAAAATAGACCTTACAAGGGATGTGGAGCAAACGGTGAAGCCAGCTTCAACAGGGCCATGGGGTGCTCCACTTTTTGACAAGGCTATAATTTACGAGTCTCCTGAATTGTAAGGACATATACTCTGCACTGCATTCATATTTTAGTCTAACCCAAAGCACCATATAGCTAATCGATCTATGTCTCGCTTGTGTAGAAACTAGTATTTGACACACTGAAATACCAAAATCTTCGCTAGGGTTTCTAGTCCTCCTGATGCCACATCAACCAAACAGAAACACAACCACACGAAGTTCGTTAGAATCTTGATATTGTTGTTATAGATTAATGATTTGTTTCACCAATTTTGTAGATCAGAGGGGATTATTCTGGAGTTCCCTGAGATAACAAGCTCTACAAGGCGGGACCATTGGCTTGCCCTCTCCAAGGAGATTATGTTGATGCATCGTTTCCTAGCAAAGTATGAGATAAACTGTCCGATACAAGCATGGGAGATGCATTCAAGGACAATCCTAGCAATAACAAGGCTCCATGCAGCAAGAGAAATGCTGAGAATATCACCCCCTCCACCAACAAGGTTCTTAATTTTTTCTTTGTTCGATGAGATACCGAAGGGAGATTATGTCCTGGAGGAGCTTGCGGAGAGTCTTAAGAAGGGAAATAGCGGGCATCCATGTAGTGCTAGTTCAATCCTAAGGAGCATGAACTTGTTAGAGTCAATGATCATCTCAAGTTTAGTTCAAGAGACAGAAGTAGGCAGCAGCGAAAGTGCAACCCCAACTCCAAGCGGTCAAGTCGAAGACAGTTCCTTACTAGAAACAGCAATTAATCAAGCAAGAGAGGAAGAAAAGGAAATTGCTATTGCCAAAGCTACCACAAAGGAACTTAAAGAGGAGGGAATCAGTGAAAGTGCTACTACCTTTTTGGCAAGTATCTAACCCCGTCTATATCACTCTAGAGCAACTTCCATCTATCCAACGGCGGAAATATCCTTGTTTATATTAAGCTTAATTTTCCTCCGCACATGTACCTTCGCAGACATCCTCACTACAATCATCTGACTTCGTTTATTGTGTAGGAGCTACTAAGGCCCCTTAGGAATTCAGTGCCTTGGTTTGAAGAAGTACTCGCATGGGAAAGACCGTCAACCACTCTCACTGTGGTTTCTGTGGCTTTAATAGTCACCTATCAGTAAGTCTCGTTCTCTATCTAGCTGCAGTGCTACGTAAGCTTAATAAAATTCGAAGTTGGTGAATGAGACTTAGTTAAAAATAATTTCTTCCTGATATGCAGGGAGTGGGTTGGCAAAGCAATAGCTGCTTTCTTCATTTCGCTGGTTGCAAAGATGGTTAGAGCAAGACGGCAAAGACTTGATATAAAATGCAATGAGATAGTCGTGTGCACCGCCTCGGACCAGAGTACAATAGAAAGCATAGTGTCTGCTCAACATGGAATGCAAACTGTGCATGAGATGGTGCAGATAGCAAATGTTTCGATATTGAAGTTGTGGTCCATATATATTTCGAAGGCTCGCAAGGTATTTATGCAGCCAAGCTATATGTTCATTTCTACAACTCACTATGTGCATAACTTTAGTAGCAACAGTCTGAAAATACTCTTAATTTCGAGGCTCAAATGTCGCAATGCTTATGTCCTGCCGACTTTTTTCATGCATGTAAGAGATTGATCAATCCAATTAACAAACTTAAAGTGTTGTTGCAGCATGCAAATGCGGCGATGGTGTTGTTGAGTGCCATCGCAATATTTTTGGCGGTGGTTCCGGTGAAGTTCATTATAATGGCAGCCATAGTTTGTTGCTTCTCTTCGACATTGGCATCAAGAATAGGTACGAGTAAGGGGGAGAACCAAAGCAACAGACGACTAAGAGAATGGTGGGATTCAATTCCAGTCATTCCT